TCAACTCTTCCTGGTCACAATGTTGAAATTGTTCAGCTATGTTTATGGAACAAGTGGTAAAATAAATTCTAGAAGAAAAAAAAAAGAGGCATGAAATGCAAAAAGATCCACAAACAATCTGAAAATCTTTATGCCTTTTAGTCTTCCTCACACGGCTACTCCAGACTAGTGGCAGCAGCAACGAGCAAATACCTGGAGGAACTGTGCATCTGCTGTGAAGCACACAGAAAGTCATAGCAACTCCTTCCTCTAACAAGTCCAACGCTTCTAAGACAAAATGTGATCATGCAGAAGGATTGTTGTGGGAATGGATAGGAGCTTCTTAAAGAGACAAAAACCAATTTCAAGGCATCAGATACAGCTATGATGCAAAGTCAAATTTCTTCAGTTATTTTTTATAACAACTAAATATAACAGTTACTCAATTGTGCTATAAAATATCCTTTAATAAGCTGAATTTTGAATTCACCCATATCATCTTTGTCTGATGTTAAAATTTGTTTATTTGAAAGACTTAGTGTGACAGATAGGCATAAACATAAAACACGGAATGGAGGAAACATGTTTTAACAGCTCTGTATAAAGTTAACACTTTTAAAAAGTCAAGATCTTTTCATTTTTGAAGCCAGTGTAAGCACTTTGTGACTTAAAGACTTAGCAAATGCCTGCAACGAATCCATCTGAGTTCTTATTTTTATATCTTTGGCATTCTCACATTAATTCAAATTTATGCTAGAAAATGGTTTAATTTTCTGGGTATTTAACTCTACCACAGGCAGAGGGGAGGAAAATTTATTTTCTTATACTGCGCAAAACAACAGAAAACTACTAGAGTGATTTGATGTTGACTACAGTAAAACGTTTGTGTTTTGCTGTGAATACAAAGGAGTTAGAGGAGACTACTTCGGTTGAACAATAGAGCAAATTCAAAATATTATATAAAAAAAAGAGGACTGACCTTTTGATGGTAACGCAGTCACGTGGGGAGTCGGTTCTTTTTATTTTTCTGCCCCCTCTAACTCATCACTGGGGTTTGAAAAGAAAAGTTCAAGCCCACAGATTAAATATACATATTTTTCTCCTGGCTGCAGTGTTATTAAGTCATTTAAATTGTCTTGATATTGAAATTGTAAGGTATCAAACCAAGGAGCTTTTCCTTTTATAAGATGCAATGAAATTAGCAGGTTTTTTCAGTGATGCCTGATGATGTGACACCATCATTTTAATAGACGACATGACCTTAATCTTAATATTTCTTTTAATTCTACCTTTCCTTAAGCAGTATTTAATTTAAAAGTAAAATGCAGACATATCTCTGCACACTCACCTTTTGTTGTATGCTCCCTTTCAAAACTGATCACTGATTCATTGAAATGACCTCAGCAGGCGGCTTGTGAATGCTTTTTGCCAACAATCCCAGTTAAATGATGGTCCACAAACAGCCTCCCTAACTGCTGTTCCTGACGGAGACGGAGGATGATTCCCCTCAAATGGGAGTTATTCTTTGCCACGCGGCATCATTCCGGAGAGGAGCTTATGAAGGGAAAAATTTGTGGGTAATAGATTTGTGCCGCCATGGCTCCCCAACTCCGGCATCTGAAAAATTTATGCAATTAAATTTCTAATTTCAGCAGGGTCAGGACAGTCTGACTTCATTATCAGCAGCAAACTCATTATTAAAATCAGTCAAATGAAGATTTGACTCACAGTCATGACTTTTGGGTTCACTGAGGTTCAAATGAGTCCTTTTGGAGATTAGACCAGAACCTTGAGATAAATGTATCTCAATAGCTCCAAATAGGTGCATAGACAGAGAATATCAGACACACAACATAGATCACATTATGCGAGAGAGATCACAGAACACATTATAGCGTATTCATCAAAATATTATGAACATCTTCAATTAGATAATCAGATAAATGTAGTGAAAGTGGAGGAATTCCTAAAGCACCGGCCACAAATGCTGGATATTACAGTAAAAATGTGAGCAAAATCACCACAACATCACCACAAAAAAAAAAAATTGACATTTTATTTACATGAAATCATACACAGCTGTCGCTAATAATACCAATAGGCTCCCTTGCATTGGTCGATTTCATATAGTTGGATCATACAGAAAGAAGAACAGTTGACAATTCCTCTCTGCAAAAAGAGTGTCCAAAGTTTTCTTATAAGAATTTAGGTCAAGGGATTAATTTATTATGGCCATGTTCTGTGTGATGACAACTTATAATGAAGTTACCAAACCTTTTTGAAATCAGCTGATTTTTATGACATGATTCTCAAAGCCTTTGGAAGGGAAATGGAACCACAGCATGAACTATGATTCCACATATTTATTTGTTTTGTGCCCAACCCAACTGGAGTGTTTGTCACCAAAAGGTTCCATCTTAGGCACATATTTCTGGCAGCTTTCAGTAAAGTCCAAGGGTTTATATTTGTAATGGTAGGAAAGAAAATAGCTCACAAAGCGGTCAGTGAAGAAATGGCATGCAATGGATGATGTAGAGGAAAGACTTGTTTTCTGCCAGGTAATTGTACTAAATGTTTAATTACAAACTGATTAAAACGACAGAATTATCAATTTTCTTGAATCCATTTAACCTGACTCACACATTTCCCATCTTTCCTATTTTGAAGAGTGGATAAAGGAAATGGGTCTATTACAATAATACCAAAGGGGAACAGGAAGTGATGAGCTATCATAGCATGCATAATTTAAAAATATGCTTCAGTTACATTTTCTTTATTGAGCCTTGTTAGTGGTTCAAATATTTTCAGCTCCATTGAGTCCAACTCCATTACTTCCACTGTAACTGCACTAGAATGTTGTGTTTTCTTAAATCTCTTTGTTCAATACTGTGCTGCTGCAAGACATCTTTTCTACACATTTTTACTAGGAGTGCCAAGAACTGCAGAGGTTTGCGTAAAAATGCAACTTAAGAACCTGACAGGTAAATAGAAAGGCTGCACTGTTACACAGTTTGTAAAACCTGCTCTTTTGTCTCAAGATAATCAAAATACCATTGAGTTTATAAATTTTTAATGATATTGTTTCCGAGACCAAAACAAAAAGGTTGATTATGTGCTGGGTTGAGGGCAAAAGGAACAGCCAGGCTCCTTCTGCCCCTCTGATCAAATAGTGAGGGCCGCATAAATGCATTATTCAAAACTGCAGGTAATATTAATACCACGATGTGCTGCGGGTCATCTCGACTGATTTAATATTGGTTTGAAACATGGCTGCTTCCACCTGATCCGAGAGCCTCGTCGTTTTCCCAGAACCACCTGTGCTCACGCGAGGACATGGAGTGTGTTTACGTTTCCTGATCCATACAACCTTCTTCTCCCCTCTGGTGCTAAAAGGTTCCCAGGGGAAACACATTACTGACGTGACCGAATCTGCCTTTTCAAACGTTTAGTGTGCTTGTTTGAGCTGCCGTCTTGCCCGTGTTTTCCGCAGGATAATGACTCAGGTCGCGCTGCATGGAAGCGTGTGAAATAAAAAGCTGCTTGGTTCCTCTGGGTGAAAGAAAGTCCTTTTCTGCGCATGAATCTGAGCAAATGTAATGGAAGGGACAAAATAAGCATAAAATGGTATCTGACGGTGTGAATCCTGCACCTGCCCTATGAGAGGGGTGATGTCTCACCAGCAGGAAGCTCACGACAGATAGGTGAGTGCGGCTTTCATGAGAATCATCCGGCTTTCATGTGCCGCCAGAAGGGAAGAGAGCCCTGGGAGTGCTGCTCATCCATCTCCGCTATAAGAGGAAGAGTCGCCTCAGGCACCGTCATACAGGAAGATGAAACTCTAACACACACACATTCAAACGTGTATGTTTTTTTTTTTTTTTTTTACCTGGTGTTATACTTTCTGACTTACATTCATCTCTGCCTCCTGATCTAAATTTTTCACGCTGCATGACGAATTATTAATCGTCATCTAAATCCTAAAATAACTGAATTCTGACTCTGGAGCCTAAAATAAACCCAACCTTCTTACTGTGGGGCAGAGACACTCTGCCAAACATGATACTGCACAGAAGAACACAAGGTGGGACATAACCATGAAGCTGAATGTAAATGATGCACAAATGTGTAAGTTATTTACAATATGAATACAAATCTGAAACACGTCCAGACCTCTGTTTATGCATGGTTCAGTTTTCATGGATTCATTTTTCTGTGGAATGTGACTCCAAATTATTTGCAAAAAATATGCAGTTTTTTCGTAGAGTATATCCAAATTATTACAAAAATATAATGTATTTATTATTATTATTATTATTTAAAATATTCAATACAAAATGCAGCTGGGGAAGCTAACCTACTTCGGCGCAATGCTATTTGACATGCTATTGGGCGGCATTTGCAAACCAACCAATCCAGGAGCGGCATTTATATTCCTTGAAGCTGATTGGCTGTAACCCCAAGAGCGGAGATAAGTACTGCGGTCTCTAACCTCCATTGTATTTGTATTCAGCCCTCTTTACTCTGACAGGTGTAAATAAAATGAAGTGCAACCAGTTAAGTTCAGATTACATCTGATTGTTAAATAAACATCTGAACTCTGAGTACGGATGCACCTGTTCTATCAAAGCCTCATGTTTTTCAGGCAACATTAGTGAACAAAAGAGATCATGAAGGTAAAGGAACAAGCCTGAAAGTGAAGCTTAAGCAAGGTTTGATTATAAAACAGATCCACAGCTCAGGTAGAAAATATGTTAAGAGAAATCTGAGATAAATCTGCACTTTATGGACGACTGTTAATAAGAAAGAAATCCTTGATAAAGAGCAACTGCAGTTTGCTTGGTCTGGATGTGAGTGTTGTTTCAAATGAAATTCTAACACTGCACCACCTGGAATACACCATCCCTATGATGAAACATGGAAACACAGTGAACTGGTAAATATGAAAGCGTACCCATGTTAGCATGGCCCAGTCAAAGTCCAGACCTAAATACAATTAAAGAATCTGTGCCAGCGTTTCAAAATTGATTCTCACAGATGTTCTTTATTTAATCCGAAGAACTACTGATAATTTACAAGAAAAATTAGAGACATATCTCCTCTTGCAGCCATTAATGCAGCAAAACGTGATTGTAGCAAAGCAAAGGAAAAAGAAAAGCATGCTGTAGTGTTGGTCTGTCGAACACAATCCCAACATAGTAATACCTTGAAGCTTATTCTTGTAATTTCACAAAACATAATAAGAGTTCAAGGAGCATGGCAACTTTTGCAAGACACTGCAACTGTTCTCAGATTTTTTGCTGTTTTTAATTAAATTCATGATTACTAACATAAAAGTAACAGCCTCCATAAAAACTGAAGGACAAAAATGTTGTCAAAGGGTAACACTCCAAGCAACGAGCAACAATGTGGGCAGGAGGTGAAAATTAGACATCAAAAATGTTACCTGGCAACAAGGTTTTCTCCATTCAAATTGAAAGGAAAGAAGTGATGGAGATCACGTTTAGAGTCGGAGGGGGAATTACCTTAATCCGCCCGTCCCTCACGGGGGAGAAGAGGTCAAGCACAGCGCATTAGGGAAGCAGGTGGAAACTCCTACTGGAGGACCCTGGAGGGGCTGCAGAGGACAATCAATGTACATCTCAATTTTTAATCTGAGACGACTTTAAAACTTGCTCTACTCATGCTGCTGCGAGTTCAGATTTTTAAACAACACATTTTGTTGCCTTTGTATAGAAGAGCAGGGATGTATTTCTGCTCCACACTTTGTTGTTTCTTGTGTTCAGCAAACACGAAACACCTGAAAGGTTCCTGCGTCACAGTGCTTGTGTTTCCCGGGTAAAGGTGTTAATGAGAACTCATTGTGAATGGTGTTGGGAATTCATTCGAGATAAAACTACAACTAATTACCTGATTCAGTTAGTAACTGTGCAGCAAATGGAGCCTTGTAAAAAAAAAAAAATTCATACGACTTTTCATCTTCTGTCACAAATATTTCATTGGTCCTTACCAGAGAGAGCCAAACTCAATGGTAACTCTGGGAAAGGTGGACCAGCACTTCTTAAGCTTGTGAGAAGTCATGTAGAAAGAAGGTGAACTGATCAAGTGAGACCAAAATTATTTTTTGGCAGACAAAAAAAACATGTATGGCTAAAGAAATTTTGCATATATTTCTATCACAATTTTTCATCCATTAAGCTTCACATCAATATGATTAGATAGAGCGCTTTATGAAAATTCAACTTTTTAAACAGTGACCTTTTGTAGCCATCATGTGTAGAGTTGTCAAAAACTGATGGACATCTATCAAGTCAGGATTATTTATTAAAACTGGCTTTGTTATTATTTTTTTAAAAACTAGATGTCATGTTTTACTTTATTTTAAATGAAATCAAATAAACAGATATAAACTAATGAAATGGATCATACTGTGTGTGCAATTTAATAATTAGTTTCACTTCTTGAGCTGAGTCACGACAACGTAGTTGCTCAATGACCAATTTAAATAAATTTGGTCAAATACATGAAATTGATGAAATCAATAACGTACAAAAAAATAAAAAATAAAAATAAAAAAAGAGAAAACAACCAACTATATTCTTAGGCCAGGCAACACAGCCAGAACTGGATTTTACGGAGTGGAAACACAGGAGCGATGGAGCCAGATGGCTGAAAGACCGGTTCTGTTCTTTGCTCCGACAGTGAATGTCACCAGTGGCAACCAACCAGGCGTATGAATATCCTGACGGATATGAGAGCAAATACTAAACAGGCCCTACCATTTGTGCTACCGACCGTGAATGACTAATGTTTCAGGTCCGAGTTGTAGGAAAGTATGCATAAAATGTTTGATTTGAGGAAAACTGTCTTCGAACACAATTCTGCCTGGTCATTTATTGAAGTAATTCTTTTATCCACTTCAATCTTAATGTTATTTAAGAAAAAACATTCACTATATTCAATAATGTGCCATTCACTTCCAACTAAAGATGGAATAAAAATTATAATTATGTATTATTAATCATAATTATACAAGACAAATCTGAAATGGCTATGCTGTTAATTTGCCTAGAAATGCTTACCTTTTCTTCAATATTAGCAACCACATTTCTTCAGTTATTAACTCCTCCAGTTCTGTTTGCTCCTTTAATAATCCATACACCCCAAAAACAAAACTTTAGATAGAAAAAAGACAAATTATTATGGGCAACTGACTGATGTTCAATTTGTAAAAGAAGCACTTAATTTTTCCCAGTCTGAACAAATATCTGAACATGTCCTGGACCTTATCATAGGGACCTTTGGATGTTGCATACTGTAGGTTTTGGTTCTCTGTGGACCAGTCTAGCTCCCCACCGACAGGATTGGACTCACATCAAACTTGGATCCATGAACTTTGTACACCTGAGGATTCCTGTTGTGTTGTTTGTGCAACTCCTGAGCAGTTTTTTCAGGGTCCACTGCCTTCCTGCCGAGCAGCAAGTTGTTCCTTCAGGGAGCTGCAGAGACTGAAACGGCTGAGTAAAAATACCGCAGTGATGAGTTTCTGTTTACTTGCCGCCTTTCAAGCAAAACAAGATAAAGTCAGGCAGATCACTGGGAAATAAACCTTACCCACTACATAATTATACACCTTAAACATCTAGATATCCCCTCCACTGCACACTTATCCTGTGAATTTTAATTGAAATGCTGAGACCTTAGTTGATAGGAAGCTAAATGCATCACGACAGATTGAGCTTGGATTATTTTTACTCCTCTTTCAAATTAAAACAAGGAAATGGTTGACACAAAGTAAACAATGCTCATCAGATGTTAGCCATAACAAAGTCCTTTCTTGACAGTTTAGCTCAGAATTAGAAAAAATAAATAGGAAAACAGTCAAAAAATAATCTAAGCATTATGTTCAGTGTTTTAATAAGAACACAAGCAATTCAAGCTACAAAGATTTCTACAAGGTAAATGGATGAATCACATTGAGGCAGTCACTTCTCTGAGGTCCACACAGGTACAAGCGAAAACGCGACGCAGCAGACGGGCTTGAAGTGTTTTCTGTAGAGGGTCTGGATGCTGATGAGGATGTTCGCTGCGACTGTGGGTGTGTTCGGGACTCCAGAGGGGCTCAGTTTGGAGGGGGCGAAGGGGTTACGGCGAAGCCCAATTGGGTCTTTTCGGAGGCGGAGGGGGCATTAGCTCCGAGTCCGGGTCAGGCGGGCGTTTCCGGCTCTGTGCGTTGACTCCCTGGGCGCAGCGGTCCAGATACTCAAAAAGGATTTCCTTCGTGACGGGTTCCTGGATGCTTTTACAGACAGCTGGGCAGAGAAAAACAAACCGGCACAGCAGGAAGGAAGTTATCACAAAGACGCTGAAAGGCTTTTCCACCCAAGTATAATGCAACTCCTAAACTTTTTATATTTTGTATTACAACAAAGACGATGAATACTTTTACATAAAATTATTAATTTTTTTTTAAAGTATTTTACAAATAAAAATTTGAAAAATGAGTTGCGTATTTGTGTTTAGCTTCACTATTTTTATCCATTCTTCATCTTCCTTTGACTCTTTCATGAAGAGCATATATTTTCTTATAGTTCTTTTAAGAATCAACAGATTATTCCACTGAGTTGTACAGCTTGGCTTTTTGTTCGCTTTTTATGATTGATGATCTCTTACCCAACCTGTCACTTTAAGTGGGAAACTGTCTCTCAGTAGGTTTGCAGTTGTGCCACAGTGTTTCCAATTTTGGATAATGGATGAAATGATGCGAAAACGTAGAAATCAGTTTTATAATCAAAACTTTTCTGCACTTTTATTCCTGACCTTTCACATGTTGCTTTAGTCTTTGTGATGCTGTTTCATCTCAGATAATAAAAAAAAAAAAGCTGTACTGATTTAGATGCTATTTTACATAAAGGTGTACCATTATAATAAATACGGATTTCATTTAAGAGTATCAGCATATACTTTTCACATTTATATTAATAAAATTACTGAAAACTTCTACAATTTTCAATCCAATTCACAGTTGAGAACTACTTTTTGCTGTTCTGTCATATAAAACAGTAATAAACATACATGGTAACAGTTTAACCTCAGGGACTTTGTACCAAACCTCACCTCCCATCAGCACTTATACTTTGAGCCATCTTCACATTAAGTTTAGAAAAAAACAAAACAGGATTTAGATCATTACCCCTGAGACTATGCATAGAAATAGCTCATCCCACTTCACAGCTCCCTTGGCACATTCATGACCGAGCCACGGTAGCAACAACACATTAATGATTATTTGCAGTTGCTAAATGGAACAAAGTGTTATCAGTCTGGAGAGACATGCAAAAATATCTGTCAAGGTTTTTTGACAAAAGAGACTTTTGCCATCTGGCCTCTGAGGCTGTCTCACAGCCCGCAGCAGCATCTAAAGCCCAATAACTCTCTTCCATCTTGTACAATCAATTTAGTTTGCTCTTTAAATGCATTTCTCCTCCCTTCTGCTTCAGGTTCATATTGCTTCAGCTTGTGTTTTTATGCTTTTCCTCGTACAGCACTCTGATGTCAACATTTAGATGAAATGCTGTGCTGAAAATGTTCATCAGACATGGAGACTGCGTGCAGTTTCCGTCATCTTCTCCTTTGTTTACATACATTTATTTTCTCTGAAAGGTTACGCAGAAGCTTTCAGATGATATAGAACAATGCATGTGAAGATTTTTCTTCAACTGAAACAGTTAATTGCTTTTTTTCCTCCTGAAATAGACTGTGTAATAACCCCCAATATAATAACTCTTTGAGACAGAAACAGACAAATCAATGCCATGTTAATTTTAAATCACATTTATAAATGTTAACTATTTAAAATGTTTAAAACTAAGGATCAAGCAGAATATGGACATTGAGGAAAAAGAGTGAATTTATGCCTCATAAAATCTGAGCTTTTAACTTAAAACATAAAACGTCAGAATAATGTGATTTCATCTATAAGTTTTTTATATGCACACTTTGATCTGGTCAAACCAAACAATAACAGTAAAAAGATTAATTCTGTAATTAGAAAATGATTGTTGTACAATAAACAAAGAAAAACATTTTTCTACTTAGTTTGAATAAATCTGTAACTGACAAAATAATTAGAACCATAATCATCCATAATAAAATCTTGCACAGTGACTTTAGAAAGAAAATAATCTATTTCTCAAATGGTTCCAAAAATTCTCTAGTTGAACCATTTTGGCTCGTTTTCCAACATGTTGTAATTGTTATATTTTAACCCAGCAGTCGGTTTAGTGGGAGAAGAAGATTAACAATTTTGTGTTTTAAAAAAAAAACACGTCAATCTAAACTTTAAAGAAAGTGTGCTTAAAAACATTGTTTCTCCTGATCCATTTCTAGGCCATTTAGCCAAACTGTGTTAACATGAGCCAAAAAACTGCATGTGTAAAGCAGCTCCAAATGTCTCTCCATCAACAGAAATTGAAACATAACAAAAAAAGATTGGTCAATTTACACTAAGGCAGCACCATTTGTGGAAAACACAAAACAGTGCTATTGTTGTTGAATACTATGAAAATATCAATTGTAATTGTACCATATTTTCCTCATTTGTCTATTTCTTTTCTGTCATCACAATGACTCCATCACACTCTGGGGGATTTTTGATCTCTAACATCTTTGCCAGTTGTGAAATGTCCACACATCTGACCAAATGTATGCTTGGAAAGCAAGTCTATTCTTTGTATATTTATTATTTATATATTGAGGTGAGTGTTTTTTAAGTTTGAAAGCTATGTATTACCTGGTGAAGGGTCTGAGTGTCTTAGATTATCACATCCATCTTTGGAGTGTGCAATTAATTAAATGTGTTTTTATTTTGGCTCTAATTACATTAAGTTACAAAAATGAGATTGCCATCTATTTATTTGACCATATTTCATTTTCTTTTTAATTTCTAATATGTTGAAAAGAGAGGATGGAGGAAAACACAGCCAAACAAGCTGCCACAAATTAGTACTCATATTCTAATCACTGACTGGATGTAGTGTAAAATGCTACAGTACAAGCCATTTACCAATTATTTATCTCAAGCTTTACCAAAGATACTTTAACTTGTGATCCCCTCAAACACACTGTTCTGTATTCGTGGAAACAGACAAATATTAAATATGGGAGGTTTTGCTGTTGTATTAGTAAAATTATCCACACAAACATAAATAGATTGTTTTTGGGGGTAAAAATTATCTACCTACCAAAAAGTTTTTGTTTTTTTTAATTAGGAAAAGGCAGAATTTAGAAAAAAGAAAAACAATGAATATTGTTGAACAATTATACTTTTTTTATGGTGACCAATGCAATTTAAACTCTAGCCTTAAGCCTTACAGCAAATGTTAACCCACAAACCACTAGGTGATAAAACACAGCTGACAACAGCAGCTGATTCTTCACTCCACTGTCCAGAACTCAAATCAGATTTTTTGACAGATAAGGTCTGACAGCATGTCTGAAGACATAAATCTGACAGACTGAACCTCAGGCTGGATTAATGATCGTCTAAAGCCCTCGACTCGGTTTGTGTCATCACTCATCTTCCTCGTGTCTTCATCTTTCTTTACCTGCTGCTCTTTGCTCAGCAGGAGGTTGGTGCTGACTGGTCTGCACGTCAAAGTTTACACTTGAACTAAGTTTAATGTATTTTACGACACATTGTACATAATGTAGGTGTGCAGTGAAAACAAGAATAATGTATGAAGAGCAGGAGTAGTTTGAGCTGAGAGAACATTTGTGGAAAATGTCTGATAAAGTTCATTTACTTTGTGTTTTGTGCAAGAACAGTCTCAGCCTTAAGTTAGCATCACAAAATAGCAGAAAGTGCTGAGTGCGTCTATGCTCTGCAGATGGATGCACTCCGTCATTTGAACCTGCTTTACGGAAACACTTTGCTTTATATTTCCAGTTTTTGGGCCACTAATATATCCTGGATACCTGTTTATAGCGGTGGTATTTACTTAAAAGGGGGGAAATAGTTTATGAAGAAAAATGTCAGCTTCTCTGCTCAAAGAAAGGACACAGATGAAAACAATTTGTCCTGGGCACAGAGTGCGAGGCCTGACAGGTTGGTGTGCACGCTTACACAACAGAACATCTGCCACCTCCACACACACATTCACTCACAATCTCATAACAGGGAAATCTAACTGAGAGCAAAGCCTGATGTAAAATACTGATAAAATAAGCCATTAATCGCAACTGACTGCTCGTTTTTCACTTTGATACAGCTGCAGATAAAGGGGGAGGCGAGGTATTAATAAATGACTGCAGACGAGGAAGGAATAGAGACTCACCCATGGCTGTGTCATAGGAATTGGGGAAGCTTTTGTCCACCCTCTGCCTCATAAACACCCAGCTGTTGTTAGCAAAGGTGCACTCGATGATCTTGTTGTCGTACTGTTTCAGCTCTTTGGTTGCCTGTGCAGACAAAAAAGAGATTCATCAAAAACTGTTAGAGGAACTGTTGCATTTGTTTTATTCTTTCTCGTTTCTGTAAAAATAAAACATATCTTGTTAGATTATCTGGTTTAATGCCGATTGCTGTCATTATGCAAAGAAAATGACATAACTGCATAAGTGGGAAATTCAAAACAATTGAGATAAAATGAAAAATCACTTAAGTATAATTGCAGAAAATTTTATTTTCAAAAGCTGAAATTTCAATATTTAGCAAAAGTGTAAAGAAACAGTGATCGGCATGTATTCAGGTTTTAAAGTCATGGTTTAAATTAGTTTTCTGAACATTTCAAACCACAAAACTAAATTTTTCTTTCTTTGATCAGCAGTAAACAATATTTTCAATATCTGGAGCTATTCCGATTTTTTAATGTTGCTGGTATTATGGGTATTATATATGTTTAAGACACACGATGCCGTTTTTTTTTTATCACAATCAAGTAACTGTATTACCTTCAGTTCAGCTGAGATTGTAATTTGAAGCCTTAAATTTGGGCCGCTGGCCTTTAAGAAACTCCAGCTCTTTCCGACCCTTCGCCGTCAGTTCGTCCTCACAACACTGCTTCTCATTATGCTGTTTACAACCATTCTCAGGAGCACTGAACTGAGAAGTACTTCATATGATGAGCTCAGCAGATGTTTGCTAATTGCTGCTGCAAAACCCCAGGTATATTTTCAATGAGAAAGTAACATGAAAAAGTTCATTTTACACCATACCGCCTCTTTAAAAAAAGTGGAAGGCATAAAACTGAGATTTTGTTGACAGATTGATTACATAATGCATTCAGGAATGTATTCACAGTGCTTCACTATTTCCACACATTATGTCACAGCTTCATTTCAAATTGTGTAAAATTAATCTCTTTCCTAAACATTCTACACACCTGGGACTTCTCTGCATCTATTCCATGCCCTTTGAACCCCCAGATGGTCATAGTGGACAGCTGCTCATAATGAACCTGCTTGAGATCGTTTCTTTGTTTCTCACCAGGTTTGTTCAAGAGAAGGCATCGCTGCAAAAGCAATGACTTAATGTAGATGTGTCGTTTTTTTAACCATTGAAAAAATAGTCAACTAAATGTCATCGCATATATCAAACCTGCAGCTTAATGTTAAATTGATTTGAACTGAGTTGAATTCTTAAAGTGGAAATTAATTGGGCCTGATTGTCTGGTAAAGTGCTTTGAGATCTCATTTGTTTTGAATTAGTGCTGTATGAATGAACTGAAATGAAACAAATAAATAAAAGTGTCTAGTCATCGTGTGAAGGTCTCAAATAATTTTGTAATGTGACAGAGATACAGCATAATCTATCCTTAATGAAACATCAGCACATGCAAACACTAACACATTTTGAATTGCTTTGATGCAGCTCCCGACAAAGCAGTCCAACAGTTCCCAGTCCACCTACTGAGCTACAAAGGATCGCTAACCTATTACATCATATTCTGCTTTGAAAACCAAAAAAATAAAAAAACAGTGCTGCATACTGTAACACTGCTCGTGTACGAAAGTGGCACATGATACTGAAGATCAAGTATGAGTCAAAGAAGACATTTGAGCATCTGTTGTTTATTTGTCAAGGGACTGTGTCTCACTGAGAGGATTGTTGAGACTTGGAAAATGTAAATCCCTGAACTGCTGGGAACAAGGAAGGCACCCAAAAATGTGCAGCAGCAACAAGATTTCAAAATAAGCAATAATGGAGGCACCAGATTTAGTATAATGCTCTTCACTGAAGACGGACTCACGCAGGGTAAAAAATGACAAAGGCGTTGACCTTCAGGGTTCAAACTGAACCCGTGACTCCCAGTCAAAGTCTGACAGCGGCCACTGCCAGGAAAGCCCCGACATTTGGCAAGACACTACAAAGTAAGAGCTTATGTGATCCTAGAGTGCCGGGCATCTGAGCTCGCAGTGGGTGTCGAATTCACACAGGAAGCAAGATAGGGTGTGAGGAAGGAAGGGAGAAACTGAGAGAAAGAATGCAGACCACAGAGAGAGAGAGTAGATATGTTTAGACTTTCCAAAATCACATTTTACAGTGTAATTATAATTACATTTTTATTTTTTTCATGTCAATATGAAGATAGGGTCTGGTGAGCCAAACATATCTTTCAGCGGCAGAACAGCGACAGAATCTCTGAGCTCTCCTAAAGCTTCCCGCAGCAAACTGCCAGAAAACTGTGAAGGACAGCGCAGGCAGGCAGCTACAGGCTGGATCTCTCCCTGCTGCTGAGAGGTGACATGTTGGCTGCCATTTTTCATCACCACTTGGTGCCTAATCCATCCAAATCTGTCTCATTATGGCAGCACACGTGTGTCCCCAGTTATCAGGGACATTCCAACTCTTTACAAGTCTGTGCAACACTAGTGTAGGGATGGTTTAAGAACAGAATTAATACACCAACAGCATGTATCTGATGCTGAAGTTGGGGATGTGATACTTATGGAAAAAAAAATGTTACCAAATTCAGACCCTGTTATTAAGTATAAATGAATGAATGGATGAAGGTGGATGGGATGGATGGATGAAAGAGCAGATGGTGGATGAACAGAAGGATGGGTGATGAATGACAGAGCTATGGATGGATGAGTGGATGAACACTTGGAAAGGTGACTGGAGGGGACACATGAATAAATGAACATAAGAATAAATTGACAAATAGATGAATGAATACAAGGATGGACAGTCAAAATGAAGCCTTGACAAAAGCAAAAGAATGCTTAGACAGATGTTACAGGAATGGTTGGATGAAAAAAGGGAGGAAAGGACAGGAGAAGGTTTTAACTGCTAAATGAAGAAAGACAGATGTTAAATTGACAAGGAGTTTGACATTTTTATATAAAGGAATACAGCATGAATTATGTAAGGAAATAAAAATGTGTTTCAATATTCTGATTTCTTTTTTCTCCTGTATTTTAAACACCTGGAAAATATTTTTGATCCCATTGTGTATTGTTCCAGGCTTGAAGTAACTACTGTTGATTGAGAAACCTTTTTATTAAATATTCACCCTGAGAAGGCTTGCAGTTTGAATATAGTATTACATTTAGAGACAGGTTCATATGAAATCAACACAATCTCTAGAAATTTAGCTAGAGGATTATAGCATACGACAGCATTGATCATTCCTGACACAAAAATGTCTTGATAGTCTCAGTTCTGCCACATTAGTAGCGTCTCAGTGTCAGTGTGTCATCAGACAATTTAAATAAAGACTTCATTTCCATGTAAAATGTTAAACTCAGAGAAATATCACTCTTACCCAAAGACCGAAACTACTTCATTTCTGTTATAATTTTATAACTGCTTTTTATATTAGATCTGTGGAAAAGCAGTAGGTTAGGTTCGATAATATATTCTGTCATTTATAGCTGTAAAGTTGCAGAATAATTTATTTTCTCTAGGTTATTTAAGGTTGATACAGTAATGCAAGAGAGGCTTATTGCTGTCTTGCCTTAAATTGTCAAATTGTCTTCTATAATGAGGCATTTTTTGTGTGTGGTTTCTCAAATTAAAATTATGCAAAAATGTTTTTGTTCAAAAAAGTACATACTCTGACATATTTTAGCTTGCAGTGTTTATAGTTTAATGACTTTGTGGTTAGTCTCAATAGATGTATAAATATGCATTTCTGTGTGTTTTGACTATTGTAGTTTTCAGGTGATATAATATCTTAAGAGCCACATTTACGAGTTAAGCAAATGGCTAGGCAGATAAATAAATGTTTGCTTTAGACATTGCTGTAACTTTCTCTACATTTCTTAAGTAAACTTGGCTTCTACAGCATCCGTTTACTATAGCAACACATCTTACTGATGAAAATACCTTAGTCAAGTAATATATCTGTGACAACATAATAAACATCTAAAGAAAACATTTGTATGTCACTACATTTAAAATTTGGCATCTGATCATTACCTAATCAAACTGCTGCAACACTTGGGTATAAAGTATATTGTGCCAAAGAGAGCATGCCTCAAACATTCAGAATTAAGACGTTTTCCTGAAAAGGTCCTTTGTTTTCTTATAACCAAACATACTTTTCGTTCTTTCTGAAGTGAAATCAGAATAGAGTCGCAGGTCTGCAGCACTCGGGTCCATTTTAATAAAAGAACACAAGATGAGACGACGTAAAAGCGGGAAGAGGATGTAAGATGCAGACGTGTGAATATGAACAAGTTTCCAGGGAAAGACTTCACTGATGAACAGTATGAAAATCAAAGTTCAAACTTTAATATATGTTGTCAGACAGAATATAGTATTTGCCTTCCGAATAATAATATTTTATCCAGTGAAATCTTATCCAGACCAAAATATTCACCAGACAGAGTGGATTATCTTCAGGGTTCCTACTTGGGCCACTAAGATCCAGACATCAGGGAAGTCAGAAAACAAATAGGATTCCTGATTAACCAATTACACAACAGACTCACACTTTAAGTGTGTGTAAAGCTGATCATTACCTCTCACATCCAGTTTGGCTGTTTAATCAGAGACTAATAGATGAAAAACAAGGTAATGAAGTGCAAGTGAGCAAGAGTTCTGCTCGTTGTCGAGTCTCAGGTAAACAAGAGGCTCTCAGCATTATCACCTGAATAAAACCTTAACAATACTCTTTAAACTTCACAAACTAAATGGGTACTTGCTTTCAAAAGTAGCTGGATAAGAGCATTTTGTATCAATACCACTTTCAAATATTCAGTGACTTCATGTTTTTTTAATCCTATATATGGTATATTCCATGTTCCAAATTATTATCCAAGTAATATTTCCTCAGATTTTCCTAAATGGTCAATGCAAACGATACATTTACTATTTTCAAATGTTCAAGTCATGAACTATTACAGTATAAATCAAATTTTACTGAATAAAGCTCCCCATGAGAACAGCAGTTTTTTTTTAAAATAAAAACTCAAAACGCACTGTTTCAAATTATTATGCACAGCCGATTTTCTAAACATTTTATGGATTATAAAGAACTGCAAACAGTCATTCTTTTAATGTGCAGCATTAAGTGGTCGCATGTACTAAAATCAAGTTATTTCAATCAAAACATCTTAACAGACCGAGTTACATGTTGACATAAGACCCCTTCTTTGATATCGCCTGTACAATTCTTGCATCCATTGAACTTGTGAATGTGTGGAAAGTTTCTGCTTGAATTTCTTTACAGGATGTCAGAATAACTTCCCAGAGATACTGTTTTGATATGAACTGCATTCCACCCTCATATCGTTTGTTTGAGGAAACTCCAAAGGTTCTCAATAGGGTTGAGGTAAGAGGAGGACGGTGACCACACCATGAGTTTCTCCCCTTTTATGCCCATAGCAGCCAATGAAACAGGGGCTTTGCTTGCAGCATGAGATGTTGCATTATTCATGCATGAAGATGATTTTGCTACTGAAGGTACGACTCTACTTTTTGAACCATGAAAGATAGTAATCAGTCAGAGGTCATTTTCACACTTTCGGGGACTCTGAAGGGGCCGACCAGCTCTCTCCCCATCATTTCGGCCCGAAGCATGACTCCATCTCCTTGCTGATGTCACAGCCGTGTTGGCACTCAGTGGCCATCCACCACCAATCCACTACTTCATCCATCTGGACCATCCAGGGTTGCACAGCAGTCAACCCTGGATGATCCAGTGAACAAGTATGTTTGAAAATTAATCTTCATGTATGACTGGGCCCCCTACGGCCTTTTCTGCTTGTGAGCTCTGGTTAGGGTGGCCCAATCGTAAGTTCATACACCGCAAGCCTCTGGAGGATCCTCCACCTTGAGCTTCAAAAAGCTGCTTTGTGAGGGCATTTTATCAGCTGCTCTCTTAATCCGATGAATTTTTCTATCAGAAACCTTCCTCATTAAGCCTTTGTCTACACAAACCCATCATTGTTCTGAATCAGCCACAAATCTCTTCAAAGTATGGTAACGCCTGAGTTTTCATTAAATATCTCATGTTTTGATACCTTGTCATATGACACTATACTGTCTGATGATTTTCGTCAGCAGAGATCCTTTCTGTTTCCCATATTGGTTGAAACCTGTGGCCTGCTTAATAATGTGGAACATCCTTCTGAAGAAGATTTCCTTTAATTGAGCTCACCAGACAAACTAATCAATCCAGCTCTCTGAAATTACTTATAATGATTCAAAGAGCCCTGACACACAAAACCATCTATAAATTTAATAGCACAACAAAAAATTTAATCTTTATGACACTAAAAGATCATAAATATCTTTAAGTGTCATAATTCGCATAATAATTTTTAACATGGTGTATTATGCCTGTGGGCGATAAAAATGTATCTAAAGAACTTTAAATGACTCTTAAATTATGGTGAACCGGAGAGAGTCACACAGCGATGCCTTCAGGTGTCGCATAAATTGGAGAGTTCAGTGAAGGAAACAACTGTCAAAATCATTTCAGCACCTGGCGGTGGAGGTGCATGCTGGGAACCCATCATAGTTTCATCAAAGCTGCAAGGCTTTTTTCTTTTTTTATTAGGAAACTGCTCTTATCCCTGTCACTGGTGGCTACACCTGCCAGGTAGTGTTCAGATTATTAATGACTAATAATCTGCATGGACAGGCCACATATAAATCCAGAAGAGCAAGTAGATACCAGAAAGCATTGAGACTTGACTTAAAGGAGATTTAAAGTGTCTCATAAAAAACAGCAGTTTTAAATTTGAGTCAATTTTAGCATAATTTGTTAAAACAGTGTTGGATTATATTATACTTTCAAGCCTTAGGAAGCTCAGTTATAAGTAGTTTTCAAATTTGTTTGCTTTCAACTTTCAAAATAACCCTAACAGGTACATTAGAACCAACCAATGTTTTGTCGATTCTAATGTACGGGAATAGAAACACTTTTGTTTAACATCTGTCCATCTCAAATCATCCAGCTGAAAAAAAAAATCAATAAACACACCTATTGTGCTGCTGACCATGCTTCCATTCTGAACAGATTGCTGAAGTATTAGGCAACATTTTTATTCTTGGTTTAGACAAGACTAATAGAAAATCTTTTTTACTAACATATTTTAATGGAAATCTGGTATGTTGTGTATGAATAAAATGAAGAGAAAAAGCAATTCCAATGCTTAAAAAACAGCACTTTGCTTCAAATGAAATAAACATTAAAGATTAGTGTTTCAGCTGCTCTCTGCTCAGCTGAAAGCATAAATTTATGGAGAAAACAGATTTCAAATTGCAATGAAATGGTTCGCTGGGGGCACAGTGGAAAAATAATCAGACTGTATAAAAACAACAGAAATCAGGAGGCACATGTCTGACAACTGGCTTAGAGTTTGAAAACAGAGGGAATAGTTGTTGCAAAATATTCCATAAGGCTCCAAAAATGTCTAAAAGTAACATTTAAGCTCAAATTGTATAGTTAGAGTTATGCATGAGAAATGCACCTCCTCTTGTATTATTTTTAACTTGTTAAATACAGGCTTATTTTTTCTGTAGCCGCATCTACAGTTTAACATAAAAAGCACGCAGTGTGTTGTGTGCCGCAAGCAAAGAAATAAACTTCAAAGGAATGTTTTCGACAACATAATTCTCTTAAGGCATCTGGCTTGTGAAGGCACACCAAAATCTTGATATCATCATTTCAAAGAGCTTGGAGTTTCGGGGTGTTATGCAGTGTAGACACAGATCACATAACTCATATTGGGGATAGTAGACCACAATCCTGACGTTCAGGAATTGATTAATGAGTTTGGGATTTTTGCTGCATGTCATTTCTCTCTCTGCTCATTTCTTGTCTTAATAATGTGGTGTTGAGTTTTGCAACTCTGAGCAATCATCAAGGATCAAACAAACTTAAGAATTTCTGAGGGTTCCTGTAGGTTAAATTTGAGATATTATAAGATCTTTTAAAGGATCACTAAGATTTAAATATCATATAATTATATATATATAAAAAGACTTAACTGTAGCACATTAATTTAAGCAAGTTGGAAACTTGGACCCACTGTTTCCATTTAAGAGGACAAATACAGTGAAAGCTCTTGTCTAATGGTGTATAACAAACTTATTGACTTCAGTCTTAGAATGCATAAAGCAGGCATGAAACCAGCAAAATTTTATTCACAAGACAAATTAGAAACACTTTCATAGATTAAACAGTACGTAGTAGGTAATTTTATTCTTAAAATTTATTCAGGTTTTAAAAAGTTCCAAACAAGTAAAAATATTTTCAGCAATAGAAGAGTTTTCTAAGACTGTGCCAGTAAATCCATCTAGGAGCTCTCTTCCAAAACCAGTTCCTTTAGGAACCAACAGAAATTACCACAATAAAGGAGCCAAGTTTGAAAAATTACCTCAATAAAATAAGTTTTTTTGTGAAAATCATGTAATATTTTCAAATAACAAAAAGGTTGGCTTAATTTCTTTCACCGGCAGCCAAATACATTTCGATGAGCTGTCAGCCGAATGTTCCTCAAATTGCATCTAATCGGAGCTTCAAAATGACTGCGATGCCCACAAGGAAGGAGATCAATGTCAAAGACATTGACGCTTTCTTGTTCCAGAACAACAGAGTCAGCTACTTTCTGCTCAGCTTAAAACATGAATTTATAGAAAAACATAGATTTTCTGTATAAAATCTATGTTTTATAGAGACATAGATTTGATAAAAATCTATGGATTTCTTTGTCAAATGATTGACTAAGAAATTGCTTTTTCAGTCAGTCATTTGAATTCCTTTCTTAGACCAGAACCCAGTTCCTCCATTATTATTATTATTAGAAGTTAACAGGTGAACTTCTAAACCTCTTGCAAAGTCAAACAAAAGCTAGGTTATATTAAATATTGTAAAGATGTGTGGCAAAATGTAGCTTTTTCAAAAGCACATTAATCTTGTAGCCCATGTTTTTATATTTTTAAGTTACTATCAAAGTGTTGACATGTCTAGTATTTCATATGAAAAGGACATATTAAAGAGTATTTTTGCAAAAATTTGTCTTCTTGTATGATAACAATGCACTATTATTGTTAATAGAATGCCCTATTGGGAAGGCTCAAAAAGCAAAACAAAATTTTATTTTAATGTTTTGTCATGTTAAAACCAGAAACGTCAATGTGTTTTTTTGTTTTTATGAAACGGACAGAAGCTCGTTAATGTATAACTGTGGAACTCATTCATTCTGATACCTCTAAATAAAACACTGTGAAATCAAAAGCTTCAGAAGTTAAACTTTTTAAGATTGATTTAATAGTCAATCTTGTCAGTATAAAAACAGCCTTTCTGTGAAGGCCTCAGAGATTATTATTAATTATTAAAGATGGTGACTGAAGCTAAATACAGGACAAATTTGGAATGAAAACTTGTTAAAAATCTGGGGCCAAGAATCACCTCCACCATAAAATACAGCCAGATAACACATGATCCAAAGGCTTTCATGTGTTATCATGTTGTTGTATCACAAAGACTTCCAAAGAAATACATCTAAGATTGTGGTTGTAACAACACCAGTGTACATAGCTTTGTGTTTGTTGGTATTATTGATGTTAGAAAGCAATGTAATCATTTTTTAATAATGAAATTGCAATGAGCTTCTTATGAAAGAAAAATCATTTAGGCAAATCAAATGAATCCATTGATTCAGCGCAAACTTTTAAATTAAAAGCAGTTAATTTCAAAACAGGGCAGAAGGAGGAGGACAATGAAGGAAGCTTTTTGGATTGTTAACATAAAGACGAATCCAACAAAGGAATTTATGTTCTCACCCTCATCGTTGCAAAGGGTCTATCGAAGTTTCCAACGTAGAGCAAGCCGACAGTCTGTGGTAACATCCTGGAAAGACAAAAAGATCACGATTAACACCAGCAACTCTCCCCAGTACAGGATATCAACACCGAAGTATGTGAGTGTTAATAGCGTAGGAAAGAAACCACTACTCCACTTCCATTTACCAGCTAGTAACAGAATGATAAGGATGTGAGATTACACCTCACTGAGCCCTTCTGTGTCTCTGCACAGCTTGATGTCCCTCTACCCACAGAGTAAACTACAGTATGGGCATGTTTACAGTACAGCACTGCAAAACAAAGAACAGAGCATACTCGCTTTTAGAGTACTCTTATCTGTGTGTTAGGGCTGACTGGTCTGAAAAACTTTAATGAGATTTAGGTGAAGGATTTGAATGCCAAGAAAACATAAATTCTCAAAAGTAAAAAGGAACAAGGTTGGTTTGTGAAGCATGAATGTGTTCTTCTGATGAATGAAACAAAGATCAACTTGTTCCAGAACAATAAGAAGGCTTCTGTGTGATATTTTACAGTGACATTGAGTACAATTTCTGAAAGGGCTTTAAGGTCTCGCTGCTTTTGGGAGCTATTATCTTACCTAAACAGTAACAGAGTATTTTCTTTTGTCTCTGTAACTTAACACAGACTTATTAACCCTCATTAAACCAGCAGTTTATACTGCTTTAATTTGGTTTAATTTGTATAAATTAAACATTTCTTTTTATTCATATGAATAAAAAGAAAGGTAAACTGCAGATTGCTTTGATCCTAAATTTGCCATAAGTATATATTATTTTGGTCAAAGTGAACAAAATAGTGTTTTGATACAAACAAGAGCAGCTGTGTTGGCTAAAAGTTCACAAAGAAATAGTCACTAAGAGTTATTAATGGAGAATGCCCATTGCCCTCAAAGAAAAAATTGAGAATTATGAAAGGCTGTGAGCTAAATGTGTCAAAACGTAAAACTGTTTAGAAAAGACAAAGAGTAGCTAAAATTATTCCATAAAAAAGGAAAAATCAAATAAAGATAGGACCTCAGGACCTCAGAGAAGCATCATTCTTTGGTTAATCAAATTACTGTAAGGCCAGTTTGTAGATAATAGCTTTTTTTATGGGTTCAAAATATTGTTAACTATTTGTTCCCATAAAATGAGAACAAATAGTGTTTTTGTCACTGCCTAAAGATGAATCTGAAATTGGTTCTCTGCTGAAACAATGGTTTATGCAATGGGAGAAATAACACATAAGAGACCAGACAGGAACTGAAACTACCCCGCCAAGAGACTTAAAATCAATTCTTATGTGATACGTCAACACTGGCAGCGATGGCCAAAACAGCAACCACCACCAAATCAATTTCCAAATATTTCCAGAACAAACCGTTTGTACCTCCCAGATTACCAACAGATGTCTTAATCGCATAGTATTTGCTTCCCCTGCCCACCATATAAAGACAACTAATTGTGGCTGCAGCTTATTTCAGGAACTGTTTCTACAAACACTGACACAGGTTTTATATTAGTTACCCATTTTTAGCATAGAAATAGAAGGGGATGCAAAGCATCTAGACAACAGGGCAGCTCAGCAGTCTGGTCCAGCTAATTCTCAGATCTCAAATGGAGCTGAAATTGGAGACCATCCTCCCAGCCGCTCTCACCCCCTTCCTGCATAATGATTGCTAGCAAGGGGAGGAAGGAAGCAGCAGTAGACATTAAGGGGGCCAAATAGGCATACTTTAATGTGCTTTGTCCAGTGCCAAGCCAAGTCCATTTCCATCAATAGTTGAACAGCCCCTCTAGGGCTTCAGGAATCTGCAGCACTCACAAACAACAAAATTACCTTCATTTTGACAGCTTCTCTTAAACAACAGTAAGTCAATGAGGTTTTCCCAAAAGATTTGAAATACAGACTGAAACAAATGTGGCTAAATCAAGAAAGCCTCACCAGAAGAAGCTTGCCGTGTGGACGTTTACAAGCTTTTTCACGGCGTAATATTCAACTTTCACACAAAACGCTTCAGGATCAAAAAGAGACTAAATTCTGCTATTTGAAATGACATGAAAACATCCACTTTCTTTAAAGAAAGTTGAGATAAATTGCTGAAAATGCCAGCAAATATCTCAGGCTAAGGATTTATCAGGCTGCAAATCCATTATCAAAGTAAAACTAAGCAGACAATAAACAAAATATGATTCAAATTAAAATTTCGGGAATAAAAACATACAGCATCATCTAACTGCTTTACTGTTGAAGGAATAAAACATTTTGGATTCATGATCATGCGTATAACTCAGGGTTGAGAGAGGCATAAATATTCAGTCTTACCTGTAGTACACAGCGTTAAGTGCACTTTCAGTTAGAGAATAATAATGGAGAGCTGATTCTCAAGGTGGAGCCACTTTAAATGATTAGCCTACTAAAGTAATAGTAAAGTTTTCTTGCTATTTTTGTTGCACCTTTGCTTTCAAAAGGTTTAAACATCTTTCATCAACCAACATTTATCAGGCAAATTACCTTTCAGAGGCACAGACACTTTAACTGATGGCTTTCAGCTGGAGATTGGTTTTATTAAGTCATATTTTGAACACTATCTAATTACTTCCAGCACCAGAAAGTGTCATTACGTGCCTAATGGTGTGTTGGTGGCCCTTTCTCTACAAAAACAACCCTGACCGGGACATCTAAGTTGAAAGGTAGAGATTTCATGGATTATTTCTCCAGCACATATCACAGATGCTTGACTGAACTGGGATCTGGAGAATTTTGAGGTCATGTCATCAAACTCACACTCCTCAAAACATCAGTGAAGCATCAGTTAGATTTTCTTCCCTCCATAATTTGTCTTGAATTTCAATGTAAATTGAAACACTCTGACTTATGTGTTGTTTTGCAGTACTGTAGCAAACAGACTGAGAGGCAGTGTGGGTATTCTGACACTTTCCTATTTGGACAACAAAAGCTATCTGTCTCTCTATATGCATCTTGGATGTGCAAGACCCCATCACTGGAACCCTTTGCTGAACTGTGAATAATAGAAAAAACACACAAAAGCTGCTGTTTTGGAGAAGCAAAAAAACATCAAAATAGTGCCAATATAAAATGTAGTTTACAAGACAAAAATATTTCCAATAAATACACTAAACATAAATACAAATATAGAGATAGAAATGTACAAAGAACAGAAACAGGTACTGTATATATTGATCCTCTACTCTAAATACCAAAATACTTTAACTCTTCTACATGTGGATGAGGCTGACAAGTAGGGAGAAATCAATAGAAGAGCTTATTATTATTGCACAAAGATTCATCAGGTATGAAAACCTTAATGGATAGAACATAGATAAAGACTACAGCCTCAATCAAAACCCTGTATTTGTATCTATAGACGTAAAGTATTATAAAACATGTATTATTAAACATACAATAATCATTCTATAAATGTTTAAATGCATACAATGTTGCTACCACCTTGTATGACATGATACAAAATTCTAAAAAATGTCATTCTCTGTGATCAAGACCTGACTTGAACTACAATTCTTCAGCTATTGAAATAAATCTTTTCATAATGACAGAGACTTCAAAGTCTGGCTCCAGATTTGTTCTGCAGGATTCTGCTAGATTGCATGAATGTCAGAAACCCATCTCTCTCACCATCTTCCATTTTACAAATCGAATCCTTCTTTGCTGCGTTAGAAAACTGGAGCATAAAAAATCTCCCTCAGTCTTCCAGCCTCTTCTCAATTTTCTAATTTCATTCACTTTAGAGGCAAGGTTTTGAATTCACTCTGCCCCGAAGCTCGCCTTAATGCTTTTTTCAGGGCATTTACTTGACTAGAATCCTGCAGACTAAATATGGATCATGATGCTGCAATGGAAATGATTCCTCAGAATAGAAAGGTGGTACGAGAAGCTTTGGGCAACAGCCTTGGGAGAGGTAATTCCAGCAATCCAAGCTCCTAAAATCTCAGCGCATCTAATGAACTATGATATAACCATTACTCATCCTACTTTCTGAGGGAATACTGGCCAAAATTAGCCAGGAATCCAGAAATCTATACAATATTTCAGGCACCATCCTTAATTAGGATTCTGGCAATGTCTCTGCAACTGCTCAACATTTCCATTTTATCCTTTTCCATTTCTTCCCTCCGACTGCCACGCAATAATCACCGTCTGCCTCTCTGTGTGCTTTCAGAAAAGGTAATAAAACTTTCAAGGCTGTATGCCTCAGTGGTGCAACAAGATGTGCTCAAGGATTGATTGTGTGGGCTGATGAATAAACAGTTGTTACCTCCAAACAAGTCTGTCCATCTCTCCCTTCCAGACAGCAACTAAGCAGAGATCTGAAAGCCTACACCAATACTAAGCAAGTCGTGGTGATCGGTACTCTGCCAGAAAAATTCATCTTTTGGGAAAATATCAAAAAAAAAAAAAAAAAGATCTGAAATGGCAACAATGATTGTCTGTGTACTCCCACACACAGGGGAGGAGTAAAGACGCTTACAGGCTGGCCGTTTTTAGAGTAGAATGAGCGGCTGTGCCCTGGTGTCATCCTTGGAGTCTGTTGTTGGTAAACGGAGGTGGGCTCACTCATGGCTAAAGAGCTGGAACAGTCACAGAGGTCAAAAGGCTCTCAGAGGAAAGATGACAACAGCTCAGACAACGGGGGACAATATGGTCCTCTGAGTCGACACAAAAGAACAGTCAACTGAACAACCACACTATTGGCTGCTTGGGGTTATGCTCAAATGCACTAATGGTTTAATTTACCGTGCAGTTAAAAAGCAAAACTCAACATGCCTCGAACCACTCAGTCGATTCTTTGAACTTACAGCAGATCAGCATTTTTGGCTCCAACAACCAATTCACCAACTGGATTTTGCCAAATTATCTCCAAACAGTATTAACTTCAGCCAATTGTGCTTATCTTGTTTAGATCCCTAAATCTTTTATTTTGCTGAGATGTAATAGATTAACTAGTTGTGTTAACAAGCGGTGTAACTAAAGAAGTAACTGGTGAAAGGACTGTGCTTCAGAGATGATAGCGAAAGAAGAGGAAAACTCAGTGCATCACCTAAGCAGTACTTAATTTGACGTTCAGTACTTCTAGGCATATGTGGTCATTCTTATTGTCCAACTCATCCACTCTACTGTCGAGAGATGATATAGTTTTTTATGCGTCTCCATATTTCAAATAAAAAAATTGACTTTAAAAAAAGTATTCTAAAGAAATTGCTACATTTTCCTCCATGCTGTTCAGAAGATTCTCCTGTCAACATTGAGAATGCGTAGCTTTTTTATCCTGATTATATACTTCATAGTCATCCACTATTGACATATTCCAATATTAGAATTGCTAATGAGCATCTCGTCTTCAACAGACACTACATAAAGTTTTAACATATTTCCTACTTTTACAATAGCTTTGCATTTCTAGATTCCACAGCGTATTTGTGCGGTCCAAAATATCTTTAAGGTTCTGATTATCTTCTTTACAACCAAATTGCTTTTCTGCAGTTATGTTTATCAGGAGCAGGGCTTGAATCTGCAGTACAGGAAATGAATAATTAATGTCACACAAAAATGAATAACCAGAAGGACAAAGCTTGTACAGCAAGTAAAAAGTGCCTGACACAAGATAGCAAACGGGTGCACACAGGCAATGATGGAGACAGAAGCTATCTTTGTCAGAGTGTGGTTGTACTGCAGCGGAAGAAATTAAACCCCAAGGGGGAAGAAAAGACATGAAATGAAAAAAAGTTTTAACGTCAAAGAAATTTAACGTGGTTTTAGTAGAGTTATAGTCAGAGCTTTTAACATATGTGTGTATATAAGAGTAGCTTTCTCAGTGTGCACACCCTGGTGTGTAACGAAATGATAGGTGCTGTTGGATTTGTCAGGCAGAGCATTGTCCTGGCAACAGCCACTCACCCCTCTCCTCCGACTTTGGTGATTTTGAGGCGAAAGTCCACAGAGTTGAGGTTGGGGGGCTTCCACTTGAGGATGTCGTCACATCTCCCAGCTTTGTACCTCTGTAGAAAAGACAACAGATTTTAACTGTAGAACGGCTTTGTTGTTCCAGAAAACATCAGCGACAACTTGACACATCAACACGGCGAAGAACCAAATCGCAGAACTTTTTTGAGGGTGAAAGTTAACAAAAACCCCTATAAAATGGACTCACTATGAACAAGTCCTGTTGGTGTAATATCTGGCTGAAATAGATGAATACAAATATTTATGCACAATAATTCACCCAGACTCCAGGTTTTACAACACAACTATGTTTCACCATGCACCAGCGTACAGTACGAGACCGCATCCTTCCTTCTGCCGCTTGGATTATTCATGTGCGCCTGACATTTCAAAGGACGTGAATCAAGCGCACTGAAACATGAGGAATGTAAAGGCATGACGATGGGTGGAGGCGGGAACAGATGACCAAATTCTGTCACTGTCAGGTTGCCAGGTAACAGAAGTCTCCAGCGAGAGAACGTGTGATAAAACAGACAGGATTTCTCAGGAGAACCGGTACTGTCACAGCACATGAAAAAGTAAAGAGGGTCTAGACTCGGCCATCCCTGTGGAAAGCGGGTGGAAAGTTAGGCCACGAAGAAGAAACACAGAAAACCGGATTTTGTGGAGCTATAGTCTTTTCTGGGTTGTATAAAACTCAAGCCACTTTCACACAGCTTTCCCTGAACCAAGTAAAGCCAATTCACCAAGAGATTAAAATTAAAATGTATGATTCTTTGCCCAAGAGTTTGAGCAAACCCTGACTTCAGAAACACTGGAGGTAGTGAATATTTCTCTCCTCTTGATTCATAATGTGCAATTTTGATTTTCCATGTACCTAAAGTGTCCAAATAATCACCCTTAAAGACATTGCATGATATGCATCAATCTTTTTAAAGAGGGACTTTGGATGCAGGCATTTGGAAGAGCTTGTAAAAAATATTAGCCCACTAAAAAAACCTCTCAGATTTGTAGCTTCCAGATTCCAAGTCTACAGTTAGAATAAAATAACACACCATCATAATTCTAATGTAGACATTGCAATCCTGATGAAGTGAAATTATTTTTGAAAGGGATCTTTCAAGCATTCACTTTTTTAGCGTATGGCTAGGACTTTATATTAGCAAATGAATTAAATACTTCTGATTATGCATAATAGTGATGCCAAATTGACAGTACTTTGCTCAACAATAAGAAAAAATACAAAGAATGTCTCAAACTGCTGAGCTGAATATAATGAATAGAAGCAGAAAAGTTGAACCATTTGGAAAACCAGGTTTCAAGCACTATTCTGAATATATGAGGTGATGCAACTCCGTGGTAAACATGCTATCGTCTTTTTTCGTCTAGTTGATGCCATCAAATCAAAATTTCTGTAAGCTTCAACAGCAGTTTCAATGCTTTACATGCAGACTATGTAAGCATTTCAAATTAAAATCACACAATGTGATGCAAATAAAGAGCCCCACACACTCAAACAATATTTAAAAGTTGTCAACAGCATAAATTAAAAGTCCCAGAGGATCCATTCAGGATTGTTCCCAACCCTTCATGCTAAAATTTGTATGCTACCATTTTAAACTAAAGTGATATTTTCTCAAAATGAGGCCATGCCAGAGGAACCATGGCAACAATGTAATGAAAGGCCTATCAGACTGCAGGTAGAATCAACAGACAGCCTTCAAATTCATTTCTAAATGAAAATGTGTTGCCTGATGCACTTGCTCTTTCATTACTATTGTTGGTCTAGTCTATAAGTAATTGCATATAAAAAAAGTTTATTACTGAAGCGAACAACAGACCGTCTGTGTCGACCTTGCCTTCAGGAGCATATCTCTCGTCTATCACATTCATTTTCAAGTAATGAGGTGCCACTGAATAGAAATTACCTGCTGTTTCAAATCAGAATGTCAGGGGCTTTGACTTTCAGTGTGAGGGGGAAAAAATGGAAGCATCCAGATAATGCATTAGCAAATGTCTTATTTTACTTCTACAAACAAAAATATGACAGATTATTAGGGTCATTGTAGATAAAGTAAAGACATTTGGGCACAGAAAAAACACATTTCTGCCAAAGAACTTTAATCTTTGAGTGTCATTTCAAATATTTACAGGAAAAAAAAATGGGATAAAATCTGGTTTTGAAATCTTGAATTAGCTAATCTTGAATTCCTAAATCTTTCATAATAAAAGACATACATTTCCGATATTAAAAGTGAGATATTCCCTGGAATTTTTGAGTCAGAAATTTGTAAAACAAAAAGAAGAAAAAAAAAAAAACAAACAAAAAAAAAGAAAATCAGAAGATTAATGATTTGTCAGATGTTTGAGACAAAAAAGAGCCAAACATCCTCTAAGGTAGTTGTCTTGCAAATATGCAAAATACACTCCTTTGTGGCCAATTATTGTTTTTTCTTTCATTTAACAAATAGAAAAATAATGTAAATATGAAACAAGTGTATCTGATGTTTGAGTCAAATATCATCTTCCAAAAATAATTGCATCAATAATTTGTTGTCGTTTTGGCAAAAATATCACCACCTCTTTCTTTACAAAAATGCTTTTGGGAAAATAAAAGCTATATATTTTACAAAAAGTATATTAAACAACATGAAATTTGTTTAATACTTAATGTGACAGTGATAGTCAAGGATTTTGAAAAATGTGTTATAGGTGGATCAAAAACAAAGAAGTTTCAAGAAATGTAATGCAGTTTGTTTTTAGTTAGTTTTATAATAATGTTGAAGTTACTAACTAATACTGAAAAACTAAACACACCATTGGTCCCAGGAACTATTACTTATCTGATTGGTTGTCCTAACTGTGTTTATGTACTTCAAATAACATATCAGGCCACAACATTTCCTCAACCTTTTTCCAGTTCTATTGAAATAAGCAATACAGAAATAAAAGTGCATCAATGAATGTCAAGTTCAATATTTTCATAGTAAAAGCTTTCACAGAATCCAGCATTAGGTGATAGTAGGTGGCACATGAGCTCTTACTGTGTCAGCATAAAACAATGACTCCAGCCAAGCTCTTTAAAACCTTTTTTTTGGATCAAGATAAATATTGAATTTACAGCAATAAAAATATCACATAGTATTTTGATTCAAAAAGTGATATCTACAGAAAACAAAATCAAAATTCATCCAAGACGACACCACAGAGAACATCCCTGCACTGCCTACACAAATGCTAATGGCCCAGACCTGCTAATCAAGGAAAGAGTATGACTGCAAAGCTGCAGCAGAGGCATCATCTGAGAAGCTAAAGCTGAATAGCAGTGCTATAAAGGTGGAATGGCTTGTGCAATTTGTGCAAAAAAATAAAAAATAAAAGCATGAATAAATAAATATATGAAAACAACAGGGGTGTTTTCCAAGAGCTAAGGCTCTGCAAAAATGTTAAGAGTTACAGCGTCAGCTAGGATTTTATCTGATCAATAGGTAGTCTGCAGTTTTTTTGTTTGTTTGTTTTTTGCATCACTATCCAACATCAACTCACCTGAGCGGCAACCCCGGCTCTGCAGGTGATAAAAAAGCCAGGTAAAAGAGTCAAATGAGAACACAGGGAGGGACAAGATCATAAACTATGCTACAAGTTATCAAACATCCCCCCAACAGTGATGTGAATTTCTTTTAAAAGTTGAGAAATGGAGGGGCGTAATTGATCTAACACAATCAATGTTTCCTCTGGAGGAAATTTAGCTTTCATTGATTTGAAAAGAGACATGAAGTAAATAAAAAGCTGGAGAATATGTCAGAAGACAATTTTTAGGAAAATGCAAGTACAAGTAATGTTCTTACTGGGAGAGAAACGTGCAATCTTTATAGTGGTCTCATTTAGTACATTTTGAGGATAAACAGTATCTGTGAAGAATCTTAAAGAAGATCTTACATAATCTGAATGATACGTCATTCTTCAGATCATCTAATGCATGCAAAGATTTCAGCTCTATGGAATCACCTTATTGGTGTTAACATACTTTTGGACAAGTCATTATTAATTGTACTGATTCAACTTAATGAAACCAAATGTTGAAGAACTTAAACATTTTTGAGAAACTCATAAAAAGAGAATATGGATAACTGTTACCGAGTTAATAACAAAAAAAGTATGCAGTCCTGCAAGGGCTGATATGGGAGGTTTTATTATCAATGGCTTCAACTGCCATATATGTGGGTTAATCTAATAAGATATTTTACAGAAGTCTAAATGATAATAAATTAAGCATATTTTGCAAAACATCAACTCTTGTCACATCTATAAAGATCTATAAAGTATTTTTATTCTGCTCTTAAGGTAGGACAAAAAATAGAAAATTTACAGAGTGCTGTAAATACTGTGCTTCTTTTTTCCCCAGCTAATAATTATCATCTGAACATACAAGGTTAAAAGGTCAATGCTCTTTACTCAATCTATTACTGTGTAAAGAACAATGTGTATTGCTATGAGGGGTTCAAATAATCTAGTCGGGAGACAGAACTGGAAGTGGCGGAGCTGAAGATGCTGAGGTTCTCCTTGGGAGTGACAAGAAGAGACAAGATTAACAATGAGGTCACCAGACGGGCAGCACAGGTTAAACGACTGGGAGCTAAAATTAGACAGGCCAGTCTGAGATGACTTGGACCTGTGTAGAGGAGGGGCACTGGGAATAATGGTAGAAGGATGTTAAATTGAACACAGAGGTTACAGAAAACAGACTTAGATGGAGGAGGACTCAATGTGGTTTAACAGTAAGACAGAGTCTCCTGCCACTTCAGGAACCAAGCATTTAACATGCGATGATGAGTAAATTTTCACTGGTGTAGATAGTGACTGTAGATAGATAGTCACTATCTACAGTCACTTGCATCATTTATGGCATTACATAAATGATGCAAAGCTATTTTAGGGGTATTGCAACATTTGAGTAGAAGTGGCACATCTCTGGTGTATCTTTATGGTGCTTTATAACACATTTCCATTTATACAAAGACTAAAATAACTATTGTTGTAATATTACCAGGATATG